AAAAAAAAAAAAAAAAAAAAAAAAAAAAACAAAATTTTTTAGCGACAATAATCTGTTCATTCGTTATAATAATGTTTTTAGATAATTTAATTTCAATCACAGGTATATCTCTAAGCTTATGAGAAAACTGAATGTTGACTACAATTTCGCTGATAGTGCAATGACAGACAGTGAATTGTCGAAATTAATAACTAAAATAAATTGCAATGAAAAAAGAGAGCCAAAAAAAAATTTGCTTGCAATTAAAAACAGCTGTTAGCTATAAAAAAAAAAAAGTTTTCCAATCACTCAGGTTAAAAAATGTTTATCTTTCACTGATAAATTTATTATTATACATTTGAATGCACAATTAATCAAAATTCTATAAAGTATATCAAAACCACGAGCACACAAAAAGACCATTTTTCTCCACAAAAAAACGACTAAATTCGATTAAAAAGTTCAATTTTTTCTTTGTTCATTAGATCACTGTCAGTTTTCAGTTTTCATAGCTGTTTAAAAATCAATTTTTCACGAAAAGTTTGTTGTCAAAAAACAATATTAGAAGTTTCATAAAGTTATAATAAAAAAGTCGAATGCTTGACAAAAAAAAAATGTTGTCAATTTATTCAAAGTGTTGAAAAAAACAGAACAAAACAAAAATAGATAAAACAAAACAACACACTGAAAAGCCGTGTAGCTAACGATTTTCCCAGTTTTGTCATTTAATTATTAATTATAATATCTAATAAATTATTAGGCTACTTTTATTCTTACTTCAAACTGCATAAGTTTTCATCGCTACCAATTTTTGTAGATTTATTTTTGTGGTAATTTATTAATAAAGTAATTCGTGAACAGCAAAAAAAAAGCGCTACAGTCCTTCTGTTGCTGCAGCAAAAAACAGAGACCTTAATTCAAATAAAACAATGAACAGTTTTGGTTATGAGCGGAACTTGAAATTTATTACAGTATTATTTCATTTTTGCCAACTGAATGTAACCTTTATCAATGATACTGAGTGCAGACAGAATAACAAAATTGAATCTGTCTTTTTTTACTTAGTTATTTTTTCCTTACTCCACAACTGTCTGATTCTTCCGCAAATATCACTGCCAAGAAAATAAAAGACAAACCTGTCTGTATCGGCGATAATAACTTTGAATCACTACTGCGGCATGCCGATGCTGTTTTTCCTCCTCAATTTGCCTTAGTAAACGCTGTCTTTTTTTATACAACCGAAATGCGTGTTGAATTATTTGTGCTGCCTCATAAAGT